ATTATTTCATCAGTGACAAAGTTGGACAAGAATGGAGGGGGTGGACATCCTTGTCAGACGGCACTTTTTTATGGAAGCTTTTGGAGAGCTCAGCGCGCTTCACACGCATATAGTTATGTGAGTATAGGGCTACGATTATATCCACAAGTGTCTGGGGCACTTATGTGGATTAGCGTCTCTTGAGAGTTGGTTGCCCATTATCATTACACTTTTCGGGAGTGCACAAGCTGCGGACAGCACGTCTGCTGATATTGACTCTTATTTGGACGTACTGTCCGTGACGTTGCAAGATGCTGAGTGCTCCGCTTTTGGAACACCAAGCCAACTAGATCGAAGTGCATGCCACACCCCGAGGCGGAGTTATTTAGATTATGTAATATTGTTTGAATTACCAACTCCCAGAAGAGCTATGACGTTCGCGTACTCGATGTCTGTGAGCGGACGCCCCGAGGGCACTTCAACCTCACAGGCATTAGAGGCCGGTAGTAAGTCTTCCATGATCGCATCAATGACGAAGTTGAAGAGGAAAGGTGAAAGAGAACAGCCTTGTCTGACGCCAAACTCAGGCGAGAGCTTCCCGTAGGCCTTCACACAGCCGCGGGAGTTGGCGTACAGTGCCTTAAGGAAGGTCAAGATTTTATGGGAGACACCTTTGCTCCACAGACACTGTCACAGTGCCTGATGGTCCACAGAGTCAAAGGCAGCTTTCAGATCAAGAAACACAACCATTGTTGGCTGCCGGAAGCAGTGTCGCTGCTCTAGAATCTGTCCGATGGTGAAGAAACGATCGACGCAACCTCTTGCAGAACGGAACCCAGCTTGGTTTTCAGTCAACCTTCGAAAGATAAGGCCAGAGAGCACCTTAGATGCCACAGCTACAAGGCAGATGCAACGGTGGTTTTCACACAGCGTCCGCGTGCCCTTTTTGAAGATCGGGATAACTGCTGACACACCCCATTCCGTAGGCACCCTCTCTTTGTCCCATATGGTACCAATAAGCTTTGTCAGATGGATCACCAGGGAATTTTCACCTTCTTTGAAGAAGGCTAGATACAGACCGTCCGGTCCTGGTGCCTTCTCACGTTTTAGTAGGGCTATTTCGTGCTTTATTCCTTTTCCCGAAGGGCGATCATGGTTTACATTCCATTCGCTCGTGTGCATTATCTCAACAGGCTGTGTTGCAGGGGGCCAGCTGTACTGTTCTTCGAAGTGTTCGGCCCATCTTTCCAGTCGACGTTTTTGCGAGCGAATTAATGGGCCATCGTTTTCACTTATCGTTTCGCTGTCCCTTGCTTTCCTAGGGCCAGTCGATCGTATCAGTTGATGAAGGGCACGCCTGTTTCCGGTAGCAGAGGCCTTCTCCATCTCCCGAGCTTTCGGTGTCCACCAGAGCTCTCGGTGTTTCCTTAGACTCTTCACTATTTGGCGTTTGAGGGATTTGCGTGCGTCATCGGACTCGTTGCCTGCTGGTATAGCCTTCCTGGTATCAATCATGGATAGCGATCTCGATCACGCCATCGTGGACGCACGCCCCACAGGCCCACACAAGTTGGCAAGAGGCATGCCAATCCACTGTCTTCGAAGAACTACCATAGTTGAACAGTATCGATCTGAGCCAGCCCAGCAACTCTCCACAGTAAACCAATGCTGTGGCGGCAGTAAGCATGTGGATGAAGGAGAAAGAAGGGGGGCGTAAGCGAAAACAGGCTACTGATGACGCCTCCCTTCTTTCTCCTTCATCCACATGCTTACTGCCGCCACAGCATTGGTTTACTGTGGAGAGTTGCTGGGCTGGCTCAGATCGATACTGTTCAACTATGGTAGTTCTTCGAAGACAGTGGATTGGCATGCCTCTTGCCAACTTGTGTGGGCCTGTGGGGCGTGCGTCCACGATGGCGTGATCGAGATCGCTATCCATGATTGATACCAGGAAGGCTATACCAGCAGGCAACGAGTCCGATGACGCACGCAAATCCCTCAAACGCCAAATAGTGAAGAGTCTAAGGAAAC